GGAATGCAGGCGTGCCAGAGTAATTATACTTCTGTCTTTTTTTTTAGCTCAGACTTCCTGCACAGACCAAAAAAGTAAATAAGTAGCTTAAAGCCTGCTGTTAAGATTCCTTGAAATAAGAGGTGATCTCAGATCCCACGCAGCCCCTGCCCGCTCTTGCAGGGAGAGCTGGCCGGAAGGGACGAGACGTGGAGTGGGGAGGTTGTGTTGATACTCTGATAAACCCAGCTGATAGTATATCAAAAGACAGAGAGCGTTGCCTGTTACAGTCATCAGAGGAGTGGCTTTGGTCTGCCCAAGCAAAAAATTCTGGGCAGGGAATCAATGAACCCATGACTAGACAGCTCCTCCTCCTTCCAAAGAAGAAGACTTTGATGATCAAAAGCCCAGCCTTCCTCGTTTTACCAAAGAAAGATGGGGAGGGCTTTTGGCTCTGCTTTAGAGGTGGGAGTGGGAATTTTGGGTTGCTCTCATCCATCAAAGGCAGCCTTACGGCAAGTCAAAGGAGAGCAAGTAGTGCAGCCGGTTTGAAGAAAGACAACTTCGATGGTCAGCAGCTGAGGAGCTGAGGCAGCTCCTGGTCTGACATGTCTTGCTGATGCACCTCGCCCACGCGGTGAGCCTGGCATGGGACATCCCTGTCTGACAGAATGAAGCAGGTGGGGAGAAGGAGCACCCCTCTTCCTGCCTGGGGTGCCAGGTCATGTCTAGTGCACACAGCGATGTTATATGCCTGTGGATTTACACTTACAACAGGGGTTTCACTGAAAAATTGGGAGCTCTCCTGTCACTTGGGAAGGTGCCAAATGAGAAAATAGAAATGTGGACTAAAGACCTTGAAAGCAGCTCTTTGCCTTATCTTATCTGGATAAACTCAGGGAGATCAGGAGGTTGGTTGGCAGCACTTTTGGTGACACAAGGAGGCTGACGTATGAAGTGCAACACCAGAGCAGCGTGGCTGGCTGGCCAGGGCCAGCAGGGGCTTTCTGGACAAACTCTTGGGAAATGTTGCCAGCAGGCTGCAAGGAAATGAAGCTAGTGGGATCATTTGTGTGCTTCTGCACAAATCTGCACAAATCCTGTGAGTCTAAGGAACAAGCACACTGGGACACAGCACAGGAGGTGGGGAAGGAAGGGTGTTGGTGGGGCAGTAATGTGGAGGCACAAAGGGCACAGACATGGCAGAAGGACCTGTGCCAGGGTGAAGTGGGAGTATATATTAAATCCTGGAGGCAAATCAATTAACCATCTTACAGGAGAGGGGCTGGATCCCTAGGGACCCAATTGTTGGAAAAAATTGTTGGGAGCACTTTAGCTTCAAAGTATGACTGCTTGGCTTCTGCCAAATAAAATAACAGAGAAGGAGGTGGTAGAGGGGCCAGCAAGAGCAATACTGAAACTTTCTAAGGAGCACACACAGAGCACACTTAATTAGTTGAAACGGGACAGCACAACAGCAACCTTCATAAAGTCCGACTGGCAGGACAATATCTGCTGCATTGGTCCGCCTTCCCCTGTCTTGCCCCCATGCTGGGATCAGGCAGGCTGTCCCAAGCATCCCCCCACTTCCAGATGTGTCTTGCCCTAAAACTGCTGGAGACAGAGCTGGTCGGAGCACCAGTGCATCGAAATCCCCTTCTCTTCTCCCAGCTCTCCCTGCACTTTCAGCAGGGAGAGCTTGAAAGGAGCTTGGAGCAGCT